AGAGAGAGAGAGAATGATTAGGAAGTGAAGTGATATAAGACATCAATTAAGTTATTTCATAATGAATTCAATCGAGACTTTAATACAACACACAAACAGTTGTTGTTTTCTCTTCTTATATCTGAACAGAGATTAAGGATTTTTTTATCAAAACAAAAAACACAAATGATTTGCTCTCAAAATGCATTTTTTCAGCCAAAATAAAAACAATTAAATTAATACATGGATTGAAATTCAATTGAGAGCAATAGAAATTGCATACAAATTGTGTTTTTTCAAGTTTTGATGGATTTTGAATTGAAATACGAAATAACAAAAAACAACTAAAAAACAAAAAAATATTAATCTTTTCATGAATTTTCATACAATCATTATTAATGTATTAAAAAGACATCAAATGTTATCTCAATGTTTCGCTATTCTGTTCATAAGGTATTAAATTTTCCCATTATTTTCCACACAACAGGTCTTTGGCTAAAGATGTGAACAATTACTGCAAACTACAGATCGTGTATATCTTCGGCGGCCATCACCTGATGGCCATCTAATCATCCGATGATATGATACCGAATGGACAGACAGTCGGGACAACTGTACCAACGCTTAGAGTCATTGAATTATGCCATACGAAGGGCCGGTCATAAAACCCTCGATCAGTTTACTAACTCCTAAACTTCCAAATGTCTAACATTTTAGACATAATTTTGAGTTTATTTTCTGTATAAATGAAAACTAAATGTAAAATAATGTCTATTTTATAAGTAATGATATTTTTTTATTGTATAAAAAATAAAAATTGTGATTAAATTAACTTTTTTTGTTATAAAACAAAACTTTGAATTCATTTTCATTGCAAACAAACTGTAAACGAGTGTCAGATGTGAGGACACAATCGATAATCGATGTGTCAATCAAATCGATGATCGATTGTAGGCTTCGTATCGACTGTCGAGAAGGCGTTGAGAGAAAAAATTGAGACAATTATTAGGATTTTGTGGTCAATTGTATTGATAGCAGTGCTCCGGAGGAAGCGATGCAATCGGCGAAAGACAAGGCGAAGGACGAGAAGACCAAAGACAAGCCGAAGGACGCGAAGAAGGACTCGAAGGGCGGCAAAGAGGCGCCGAAGACGTCTGCGGCCGGCGATGGCGGCGATGTCTGGCCAATAAAGACCACGCCTTACGACCCGAGGTTTCCCAACCAAAACCAGTCCCGGTATGTGTTGTCACCACTGGTTGTTGTTGTTGTCGATGGCGGCGGTGGTGGCCATCACTTCCCGTTTAGTTGATAATCAATGTTATGATCTCTTGTGTGACAGTAATTGCTATCAAAACTATTTGGATTATCACAGATGTCTGAAAGTGAAGAATGACGACAAAGAGTACTGCCATTGGTATCAGTGGGCGTACACTGAGCTCTGCCCTAAGTCTTGGGTCCGTATAAACACATTCTCTCTCTCTCTCTCTCTCTCTCTCTCT